AATAACACGGCATTAGGGAATAACTAAGCTGGGCAGTGTGGCAGGGATGGCGGTCAGGGAGCGCTTCTGTGTGGAAGTGAAGTTTAAGCAGAGGCCTGAGTGATGGGAAGGAGTTAGCAAAGCCACACTGGGGAAACAGAATTCTGGGTGGGGGGAAAGGCAGGTACCAGGCTCTGGAGGGAACAGCGTTGACGTCTCTGGGAGTGGGGAGAAGACTGCTTTTGGGGGATCTCCCCGAGCAAGGGAGAGGTGTCAGGAAGGATGCTGGAGAGGTGGGCTGGTGGCGGGGCCACGTGCAGTGAACCTGTACGCCTTTGACCAAGGTCTTGTGGGTCTTCAAAATGCCTGGGACAAGCATACTGCAACTGCCCCTCTCCTGGGATTAACTAACTGCTCGAAGGCTGCGTTCACGCCTGCTGACTTGGCTGTGGGGTCTGAAGGTCCGTGCGCCTAATCTGAGCCCGGTTTTGAGGTCCAAGCAGCAGTGGGAGTATCCATTCCAGGAACAGAGGCAGTAGCTACAGAAAATGCAGTGGGCTTCCACTGATGCCTCCGCCAGCCCAGCCCCTGGAGAAGAATCCTCTGCATCGAGTATCTGAAACGCGGCTTTTCTTTTTGCTGTTGCTGTTTTTATCTATTAAATACCTTTCCTTAAATCACATCCGTCGTCACGTAATTTACACGGTGAGTGTTTATACATCTAAGGTATAAAATGGGTTGCAGGGAACAGAGCCCAGTTTGTGCTTCCTGGAAACTGGGCTTCAGGTGGCCGCGGCTCACTGCTCGTCCCCCAGCTGGAGCCACGAGGCTGTGAATAAAGAAAGCGTCCCTGGTCTGTCTCTGCTCACGTGGTGCTATTTTTGGAACGCTCTGTGCCTTCTCCGCAGGACCGAATCACAGCCATTCTCATAAGCCTAGTCAAACTCTTTCTTAATGAAATTGCCCTGTGTTTTGGGCCCTAAGACTGGCAGTCATCTACATGCTCTGAATTCCCAGATTCTTTGTTCTCTCTTGTTTCTGTTGCCTCTGCTAACGAGTCAGCTTCTGCCTTACACTGTGTGTCTTTTCCCTTCCCGCCGCCTTCATCTGGGGGGCGCCCAGTCACTTTGGATGAGTGGCACCCCACAATATTTTGAATCAGAATTAGTCAATGGCCTGTTACATCCCTCCCCATCCTCCTTCCCTGGAAAAAAGAGAAAAGAGAACCCAGTAAGTATGCACAGTAATAACAGCTCCCGCCCATCGGTGTCTCTTTCCCTCTGTGTTTTTATTCCTTTAAATTCTCGAGTAGAAATGGATCACAGATGCTGTATTTGGAAAGATGTGTTTTGTGCAAAGCAGGGTCCAGAAAAAGGCCTCAAAAGTGTGTCTGCCAAGGTGAGAATAATCACATTTTGCCTTTGCACAGCGTTTCCATTATGTTTATTTGATTAGGACTGATAATCAGGTCGGGTTCTTCCCCAGCCTCCGGGCTGCTCTGTATGCGACATGAAGGATTCGGAGACATCTTTGTGAACATGGGGTAGAGGCCAGAGCTGAGGTTGAAACTCTTCAGGAAGGGGAGTGGGCATGCCTCTGTGTGCACGTGTGCATGCATGCACGTGTGTACGTCCACGTGTGTGCCCATGTGTGTGCGTGTGTCCACATGCACGTGTGTGTGTGGGCCCCACGTGTGTGCACCCATGTCTGTGCGTGTTTGCCCAACGTGTGTGGGTATGTGTGTGTGCTTGCACATGACTTGTTGCAAGGCCCTGTTCTGGAAATTTTTCCAGAGGCAAAGAAATAAAAAAAATTTTCATAATTTTCAAGTACATAAAAAATGAGGAAAATGACATAACCAACTTTTAACTCATGTAACAGAAGCTGGAACACCAGGAATTTTCTGTCGTATCTTATTGCTGCAGAAGAAGTTCAGTCTCATTTTCCCTTGAGGTGGGGGTGGGGATACAGTCAGCTACCTGTGAATGAACTTGGTTTATATGAAGGCAAAATCTGGCCTGTGAAGGGGGAGTGGTATATCACATTTTTACGACTTCTGTGTTAAAAAAAAAAAATGAGGCTGAGGCCACATGTGGCCCAAGGCCTAAAATATTTACTGCCTGACCCTTTGCAGAAAAAGTTTGCCAGCCCTTGATTTATGTAATCGATTTCTGTTTTCCGGATTAAGGGACCAGGGCTCAAGTGGCCTGAGCTCACAGGGCGGCCTGTCCCAGTGGAAGGAGAACTGGGTTCAAGTTTCTGCAGATTTGGCTTCTAACCCCAGCTTTCATTTGACCTAATATACTTTTATGATTTCTTTTATTGAAGGGTAGTTGGTTTACAATGTTGTGTTAGTTTTAGGTGTACAGCATAATGATTCAATTATGCATACATATAATATATTCCTTTTCATATTCTTTTCCAGTATAGGCCGTTACAGAATATTGAATATAGTTCCCTGTGCTCTACAGTAGGATCTTTTATCTATTTTATATACAGTAGTTTGTATCTGCAAATCCTGAACTCCCAGTTTATCCCTTCACCCAGCCCCTCTCCCCTCTGGTAACCGTAAATTCGTTTTCTATGCCTGTGAGTCTGTGTATGTTTTGTAAGAAAGTCCATTTGTGTCATTTTTTTTAGATTTCACATATACATGATGCCATACTTCTGTGATCATTAATAAACTTTCCCTTTTGACTCTGTCATCCTGGAGTTCACAGAGTAATGTCAGCGATGCGATTCTGATACTAACTACCCAGAGTGAGTCAGACTTCACAGACTGAGGACACAATTCTCTGTAAGTCTGTCCTGACTCCAGACACCAGTGGAAAGGTCTGGGGTCCCCAGGAAACCAGCCCTTCTGAGCACCTGGCTTCAAATCCCGACTTCTCTCTTCCCCCTCAGTTTCAGTAATAAGCTAGAATAATGTAGAGCGCTCAGGAGAGAGTGCTGTACTCGTGATTATAGCTTGATCAGAAAGGACACAAATCAGGACCAGCCAAAAGAGACAGAGCGATGTTGAGGAGGGTCCCCGTGGGACGCATCCATGGCCTCAGGACAGCTCACCTGAGCTTTAGTGTCCATCGTTTTGTTGGGGGCCTTATTACACAGGTGCTGGTAATTGGCCACATGATTGAACTCTGACCGGAGACACCTTTCTACCTGCGAAACTTACCTGCGTGCAGGTCACCATGGTTACACTGGTTAATGTTTTTGAGAGTGCGACCCAGATCTTTGGGTTTTGGGTTCTCAGCAGCATCTCAAAGGGATTCTCAACTCTGGCTGTCCATTCCTATCACTTAAGGAGCTTTGAAAACAAAAGAAAAGAGACAAAGGAGTCAGAATCTGTGAAGATTTGGCCCAAGAGCTGGTTAATTTTGAGAGCGCCCTGGTGATGGTGAGGTACAGCCAGAGGGAATGCCACCTGGCGGTGAACTGTTTTATCCACAGCGGTGTCTGGAGTCCGAGCTCTCCATGCAATTCTCCATGCTCTGCCTGGGGAATTCAAAGCGGCCCTTTCTAAGACTTAAGTAAAAATAACTCAATTCAGGCAGCAAAGATGAGTGCCCAGCAGGTACCAGGCACCGTCCTGGGCGCTGAGGTCACTGCAGAGGACCGAACATGTCTCTGCTGTCCTGGTGCTTCTGGTCTTGGCCATGGGAAGACAGCCCATAAATAAATAATGTCAGGTAATGATGATAAAGGCTGTGGAGGAGAACAAAGTGGGGTGAGTGGGCAGAGAGGAGAGCAGCGCTTTCACATAGGCTGTTTCAAAAATATTCCTTGTCTGCCTTGAAATTAGCAAATGCTTTAAAATTCAGCCTCTGAAGTCCTGCCCGAGCTCCCCAGCCTGGAAGTAGGAAGTGCTGCTCTCTGCTGCCCCTGGTGGATGAGCGGAGGAGAGCAGAGGACCACAGAATGGGGGGCAGGAGGAGAGGTTCTGAGGCTGGGGTCCTTCCTGTACAGAGACACGCCTGACCTGTGACCAAGGACTGGCTATAAGTACCTGTCATGAAAGCATGTTAGCTCTCAATAACCAGTTTTAAATTTTGGTTGTCCACCTCTTAAGATGAGGATTATAATAGGATTCCAACCACTTAAAAGATGATGTAAATAGCCAAAACTTTCTCTTTCAAAATGTTTCTCATAGGTTGCATTCTTTGTAGCTATGAAGTGGCTGTTTACTGAAATGAAATGTCCTTTTCTTAAGTAACATGCAACACCATTTCTTTTATAGATGGAAAATGCGGCAGGTATTAGAGCAGATGCAATTTAGGGAAAACTAGAGAAGTCTCCATCATCTGTAGGGCAACTTTCTTTCCTGTGAGCCTGGACTTAAGGCGTCCCTCCCTGACGGCCACTTCTTGAGGTGGGTCGCCCTGTCCCACCAGAGACCCTGCCTTGTGTTTGGAGACGTGGGTGTGCGTGCAGCAATTGCAGTATTAGACGTGTCATCGTTTGGCAACGCTGCCACCTCTTCAGGTGAAGGTTAGGCGGCGTCTGCGCTCCAGAGAGGCTTGACTATAGGACTGAAATCACATCTTCAGGAGGCGGGCTTGCTTGGGTCCTAACCACCGGAGCAGTACCTAGAGCAATGGATGAAGGCTCACGCGTGCGTCCAGGAGCTGGGGTGGGCAGGGCGACTGCGCTCGGGTCTGTTGAGGATAACGGGGAGCCAGCCTTCGGCACTGAGGTTGGGCACTTTCATTTTGGAGCACAGAGGTGTGCTTCCGCCCTCTTCTGCGGCGGCGGCGGCGGCGGCCCAACGCAGGGCACACCCCCTTGCTGTCATCTCTCTGTTCCTAAGCACAAAGAAGCCGAGCAAGCCTAGCTCCAGAAGTCAGTCCCTGGGCCTGGAGGAGGGGCTCGCCCAGGGGAGGGGAGCTCTGGCCTCTGCTCCCCGCAGCCCCTCTGTCCGTGTGGCCCTGCCTCCAGCGGTGCG